GGGGCTTATACTTGGGGGGACATTCAGAGGTTTACGGTATACAGTTGAAAAAAGCTTGTATTTTCTTGTCATATAGCCACACATTTCTGGGTGCGTATGGAACAGTTTATACGTTGGGTTCTCAAGTCGATCCAATGGTAATTTGATATTGCTAATCCAGCTGTCCTCTGCTGTTGCGGTTTTTCTAACCATGCAAATTAAAGATCTGAGCGCAAAGCCACCCGAACATTAATTGTAAGAGCAATTGACATCATGCATGACAAAGTTACGAATTTTACTCCACCATTCCTTTAAGAACCCACTTTATTATTTTTTTAATTGAAATTATTAATCCCGGATAGCCTACTTACCTTAGCCCGCGTGCAGGCTCAAGGAAAGAATAGTGAGCCTGCAAGCAAGGCCCTGTATTTTGTAAAACGCCCCTTTTCATAACACGCCCCATTCGCGCGTCAATTGTCAAAAAAGAACCAATGACAGCAATCCAAATATTAACAAACAAACTCGCATTAAAATGTTGCGGGCTTTTCTCTGCTTTAATATTCAAAATAGAAACAATGTGTAAATGGCTGTGTTTTAACTCCAAAAAATCAAGCAACGCAATCGGTAATTGCCAAATTTACAAGTGCTCATTTTGAACTAAAATCGGAACAGGCAAATTACGACGAATTTCAACAGAAAACCAGTCTCAAACTTCAAATCGTGAGGGAAGTCGTGCGACCACATTAGCATTTAAATGCATGTGTGCTTGGCTGTCGCCGTTGTTATAAATAATTGTCTCACTTATCAGATCGTGTGTGCAATTCTTGTTGGCGGCGGAAAGTACGAAATTTATTTCAGTTATTTCATTTGGTAAAGAACTCTACAAAAGAAGAGAGGGTTCAGAGTCCAGATTGTTTCGTTTCAAACGGCAATTAATACCATCTTCTGTTTCGCTCTCTCAGCGAAGCCTTGCAAATCGCAAAGTGTTTCGAATAAGCTTACATGGAACTCTCTGTAAATCTTCACCGCGAAAAGCGCTGTTTTCTTCAGTGCAAGAACAGAGTCAACATCAATCAAAAGATAATTTTCTTGAGGAACATATAACGTATCAAGTCTGTTTGAAATTAATGTACCCCAGTCGTAATGTTGCTATTCCAACACTTCACGACAAGCAATCCCCATTGGCATAACGGCCAAAACATCTCTTCCTTCAAGTAAACATAAAACAGTCCATTCTTGTTCCATTTTTAATCGAAAACAGTGATCAATTTTCGAATTTTAAGCTTATGGAGAGCCTTTGTGATGAATCAGTGATCTAATTATAGAACCCAACAGCAAACAGCCAATCAGAATGCCGCGAACGCGGAAAGTACAAAATACCGGGCCTTGCTTGCAGGCCCACTATTCTTTCCTTGGGCCTGCACGCGGGCTATACTTACCTTGTCGTTTCCAAATATTTATATCAGAATGTTATGTAATAAATCTCCTGATATTGTGAAAAGAAAAAATTCACACTCTTGGTGAACCTTCATTTATTCCCACTTCTAATTTGTTATAAATTTTACTGCTGTTCCACTATCAATTAAGAACATAATTGTACGCCTTTCCAGAAATCACACTTTCCGTAATTTTATCATGCTTACAATAAATTGTGCAATTTAACTCGCGTATGTTTTTCGGAATAATCTTATATTTGCTGAAAATAGCTGCCGGTAAAGGATTAAATTCGTTTCATTACCAACATTAACTTATTTTGTTGTTTATAAGGTATTTGGAAATCTGTCCAAAGCAGAAGTACCAGTGTGGCAACTATCTGAGAGTACGGGAAGATCTATCATGCGTTCAAGCACGACAAGCAACACTCGAAGCTTATGGTACTACACAACAACCAACATTTAACACCCAGGATGGCATGCGAGCGTTGGGCGCTCGTTCTTTGCAGAGAGAACGATTTTTAGCAGCTCAAAGATATGCCCTGAATAACAAAGGGAAAAGGAATGAAGAGATACAAAATTTTGCTCGTGTAAATAACTTTAATATTAATATATGCACTCTTTACTGCAGAGAAAAGGGATACCATGTTGATATGAATCCCTAACGGCAACTGTTCCTTGCGTACTGTATATGACCTCGGCGGTGACGCGATTGTCAGATGTCAAGTCCCTTTCACCTATGAGATCATGGGTCCCTACTCTGGTTTCCTTTCACAGGGAATATTGACAGGATGGACTGGGATTAGACCTTAATTGACCCTTCTACCGTAGCCATGCTCTATGATTAGATATATGTCATAAGGTGGCTGCCGGAGACGCCATTACTCCCTTGCATTCTTATTTCTTGCTTGCTTATACTAATGACAACTTCTTAATTAATTAATTAATTAATTAAGTCATTAGTATAAGCAAGCAAGAAATAAGAATGAAATATGAATAAACTTAATTAATTAATTAATTAATTAATTAAGGAGGCACCCTACAGTTTCCAATATATGTCAGTGTTTTAATCTAAAACCTATTTAATTCATTTGAATCTAAAAAAATCTAATTTTTTGCACAAGCCATTGTTTCCTCTTATGTAAAAGAGTAATTTTAACCCAAAATCGTTACTCTTGACGTTACCATGACAACATGACGTCACCATCTATGTGGCCTATATCAACCAGATAAGCCGTCTTAGCGGACAAATAAGCACGGTAACCTACCTTTTTTTACTACAGAAAATACATTGTTATGAAGTTTTGAATCTGTTTTGAAAGTTATTTGAAAATCGCCGGTGTAGTTTTCGAAAAACTAAATTTCAGCCTTTATAGACTGTATTTTAGCTTTTGGAAAGGCTGAAATTCAGTTTCTCGAAAACTACACTGGCGATTTTCAAATAACTTTCAAAAAAGATTCAAAACTTCATAACAATGTATTTTCTGCAATAAAAAAGGTAAGTCACCGCGCTTATTTGTCCGCTAAGACGGCTTTGGTTGATATAGGCCATATAGGTGGTGACGTCATGTTGTCATGGTAACGTGAAGAGTAGCGATTGTGGGTTAAAATTACTCTTTTATATAAGAGGAAACAATGGCTCGTGCAAAAAATTTAGTTTTTATTACATTCAAATTAATTAAATAGGTTTTAGTTTAAAACACTGACATATATTGGAAACTGTAAGGAGCCTCCTTAAGTATACATTTCTTTTTTTAGCTCGCTGTGGATCACCGTAACTATTATCTTGATTCGACTGGTACAGTACCAAGAGTTGATTTCTTCGTACTACCAAAAATTACTGGAGTTTGTTCGTCAACTTCCATGTATGTTTATTTTTGTGGTAATATAAATTATTTATAATAATAATTAACAATTATTCGCCGAAGGCGAGTTGATTATCGATGAATAAAAACCGAGACGAAGTCGAGGTTTTTATTCACGTTAATCACTGAGGTGAATAATTGTTTTAGTATAATTAGCCATTTCCCAAAGCCCTGGGTCTAGTCGCGCGAATCCCATGTTGGGGGGCAAGGAATATGGCAGCACACATTTAAATTAAATATTTAATGTAAAAAGGAGATATCTCATTATCGGTCGTCTAAAAAGTTGATATTTGATATATTTGACACCTTTCACATATTTTACGGCTGTCATCATGGATATATTTTATCCCTCCAAACGATCCCAGAATGCACTGTGATCTCTTTCGGGGAAAGGCTAATTAAATACACATTTCATCGTCATTTAATTGACAAAACGACTTCGACCGCCATTTTGAAAATCGCTTTGATGATTATCGCGTTATAATCACCTCAACGGCAACCAATCAACGTGGAGAATTTTCAATAATCACCTATGTAATTATAATAACTTACTTACCGAGAGTGAGGGCAGTACGGGAAAATATCCAACCGAGGTCTTGCTGTATTGACCGAGCGATAGCGAGGTCAATACAGCAAGACCGAGGTTGGATATTTTCCCGTACTGCCCGAACGGTTGAGGTCAGTAAGTTTTTTATTATATGGCATTGTACGTTTGTAAAAAATGGGTAAAAAGGTCACGCGAGGGCAAAGTACAAAGTCCGAAACATTTGCAAAAAAAACAACAGTTGCAAAAAACGTTCTCTCGGTTAGTAAAACTATATTCTACAGCACTTTGTATAGAGAATACTAACACAGTTTGGATCAAGAAAAATACGAGGTATTTCGTCATTTAATCACAGACAACAAATATGAAAACAATAAAATTAATAAACAGTATGGACAAGAACATTTTTAGTTCGCTTCATCTCATATATTCATGTCTCTTTTTAGCTAACAAAAACATAAATTTTCAGGGAAAAATTATAAATCTGTGGCTGCTTTAGTTGTATTTTTTATTTAGGATGGTGTCAAATTGCTCCTGGCTATCTGCAAATAAAATTTGCAGCTCTTCACATAGTCAAAACACAACTATTCCTGAGTCCTGACTGCTTTTATAGTTATAAACATCGGTAAAATTTACCTTGTAATTTCGACTTTCGCTAACAAAAACGTATTGAGAAAGTTCTTTAACCACAGCAGTTGCTCCTTTTCTTTATTTTAGGTTTATTTTTCTTCGTTTTGAATAGTTTTGAAAGACTTTTAGACACTTTTTGCCGTTTGAAACTCGGCTCTCGTCGCAGGGCAATAAAAATTGCGTATTGCCCGTGGGCAATACGGGAAAATCCTGCCTCGTCAGCAGCCAATCAAATTGCGCGATTCATCAAAACAAATGCTTGCCGTATAATAAT